TATTGTAAAATATTTTTTTTCCTACGATGGTCACATTTGAGGTGGGATGCTACCTTAAGGAGGTTGGTGCAAACACATTGCCAGAACTGTTTTCAATATCTTGCCTCATTAAACCAAGAACACTTTTCACCGAATGCTTCAATTCCCGGATGCGATAGGTAGTCAAGAAAGGATTGACCATTGAATTAATAAACAGAAATGCGATTGTTGATTCTCGTAGCCCGAAGAACCAATTCTTACCGCGACAACCAGAACAGTTTTTTTCCAGAAGAATTGCTGCGAAATATGGGACCAAAGAAATAATTAGAAAAAGCAGAATGAAAAACGAGGTTGCCACAAGTTTTCGCTCCTTTTGTGCAACTCTCAATCGTCTCATATCGTGGAGTGTTGGGTTGCTAGGCGTAGAGACTTGCCTCTGTAAATCAACCTGAGATCGTTTCTTTAATACAAATAATATTCCCAAATAAGCTGAAATGCACGTAACAAGAGGAAATGTCGTGTGCAAATGTATGTCTATTGACAGATAAATAGCGATGGAAATGTCAGCAAGTTGGATCGAGGCAAAAATTAATGAAAAAATCACGATGGTCGTGTTGCATGCGACGAGTTTTCTTGGGCTGACTTTATGAAGATAGAAACGAGGAAAAGCAACAGATATGAAACGATCCACTGACATCGCCGTCACCAACAGAATAGAACTGTTTATTCCGGTGTATTCTAAAATCGTAAGAATGTCTCCTTCTTGAGAAATTTTTTGTTCCTCAAAAGCGCAAATAAATCTCATTATCACTTTCCCAAAGCATACCACGACGCCATTAAACAGATCCACTGCTGCGATAAACGCCAGGAATACGGAAAACGCTTTTCTGAAGCACCGGAGAGGGTTTCTGTACAACGCGACCAGGATGAGGCTGTTCGGAAGTGAAATGAAAAATAAAAGAAATACGTAGGCCACTGCAGTACCAAGGCAGATGGATTTCTCAAACGCTTTTTCCATAATAACTCTACTTGGCAGAAGATGGCTATACTGTAGTCTGGTTTCTCAAAAAACAAAGTTAAAGGTCAAAGAATTGCGTGTGATGTCTGCATTAATTCTTATTTTTTGTCACGTCTTCTTGTAATCATTATTTATTCAGTATTTTTCACTTACGGTTAGAGTTGTTTGTCAAATATCCTCTTCCTGTCACTACACATCTGCTGGTTTGCCTGAATTATTTAGTTAAGGTGCAATTAAGACCGAGATAAGGCTAAAACAAGTTGGAAAGAAAAAAGTGAAAAACACAAAAACACAAAAAGAAGAAACAGCTGTTAGTAGATAAAAAGACGAATAGCACGAAGAAGGTGGAATCTTATAACTCATATAAGACGTTAACAAGAAGGATGTAGCGCTGCATGTTGATACATTATATTCCATTAACAGGTAGAAAACACAGCTGCGCCAGGGGTATAATTACTAGAATATGCGCCAGACCTAACTCAGTCTGTCTTTGTTTTTTTTTGTTTTGTTTTGTTTTGTTCCCTTCTCATATATCTTATTTTTTCATCCATTTAAGGGATATATCAGATGACAGAATACGTGAACGGTAAAACTGGATAATTTTAACGAAATTAAATATACTCCGAGTCCTGCTCTATGTGCCTTAACGCGACCAAATTGAGGGATTGCACTAATAAAAGCTGACATGAAATCTTACTTTCTGTAATCGGAAACAGTTTAACATGAAAGATGCAATTTCTCACCAAAGCCACGTTCGAATATTGCAACAGCGGAAGTGTTTATTTGAACCATTTACCCACTGCTTCTTGAAAACAAACATCCTAATGGCAGAACGCGCAAAAAGAAAAAATGCAAATTGAAATAATCTTTTGAATAGTTCGACGGTTATTTAACTTCTGTCTGCTACTGAAATTTACTGGACATGCGTGCACTGATTACGAGCGTATCCTCGATCGAGGTCTCGAATGTCACGTCCAAATGTTGCAAGAGCCTGAAAAAAACAAACTGTGTATTTTTTTTTTTCCTACCATTTACCCGAAAGCAGAAAACCAAAAAAGCATATTGTGATATCTTCCGAGTCCCGTCTACACTGCGCCAGAGAAATTTGAAAACACAGCTTTTATTGCACCGTCGTAGGTTGCGAGCAGTCTCTCTTTTGCTTGGAAATGTTTGGGGAAGAACGCAAAGAAGGTAAACAAGCGAACGGTCGTGAGCGTACGAGTAAGGCCAAATTCATATTTCGCCGCGTTTTTGCATTTCAAGAAAATGTTTTTTTCCTCACAAGAAATTTGTCGCTACTCAATGCCCTCAAAGAACATAGGCACGCAAGGCGTGCAAGAGTTATTTTTTTGTGTGAAGTGTCGGAGATAGGAGCATTCATGGAGCTGTTTACAGTAACGATTTGGTTA